TGATTCTGTTTGACCTTGGCAAATAAGACAGAAGCAGGTTTAGCACTTTTGGTTGCTTAAAGATATAAATATTTATTGCCTATCTGACTTTCTCTCCTTTTCCTCTTTCCTTTCTCTCTCTCTCTCTCTCTCTCTCTCTCTCTCTCTCTCTCTCTCTCTCTCTCTCTCACACACACACACACACACACACACAAACCTTACATTGCTATTATCTTTGTCTTAATGCCTAAGTCTTACAGACAGAAGCCCAGGTCCTGAAGGTGCTCTCCGTGGTTCTGAAATCAGGCACTCATTCAACCCTTAACACTACTGTTGGTTAGGTGATGCCCTAGGAAATATATATGATGGTTTGGTGTCAGATTTGTGTGTGTGTGCGTGTGCGTGCGTGTTTTAATAGAAATCCTAATGACCTGCCTCCCTTTTGGGGTTCCAGTAGTCATAAGCAGTAATGTCTCAGGTTGGATTAACCAAAAATAATTCATGTAATAATAATAAAAAAGAACTGCCCGAAGGGCTCACTCCTCCCTCTTCACCAGTTCAGTTAGTGCAACTCATATAAACCTCCTTGTCAGGCACAGAGCATACGTCCATGATTATCCCTATCTTGCTATCCTTGCTTCTAAAAACTTTGTAGGCTTCTCTGAGACATCTCACAAACTTCTTAAAGATTGCCAGTTTCTGGTAGGGTGCTCATTTAAATGAGAATGATCTGGTTGGCTACCGTTTGGATAGTCATCATCAATCAGAATGCTATCTAGCCCGAACTCTGAAACAATCCCAGTATGTTGAATAGACAAAAGGTGGCTTTTTTTGGTACCTATTTATGAACATCCTGTATACACACATCTTAAGTGGCCCACAATAGCTCTGTTGGTGAGACCAATATAGGTCCTTCAATCTTTCCATAATGTTTTTAATCATAAGCTTTGAGGCAATTGTTTCTACCTCAAAATTCTTAAAAATCTTTTATGGGATAGAAACAAGAGATTAATGGAGATCTTGCAAAAAAAGATAAATGGCACCACCGGAATACTACAAAACTGGGGAAAAATTAATTGAACCTATACTTTTGATAAATATTTATTTTTTGCAGAAGAAAAATGCATACTAGTTTAAGCTGTCATTATACTAACCTACATCCTATTTTTCATATTATTAGTAATACATAATGCGGTAGTTTATATTCAAAAATAAAACTAGAATGTATATACCTCATGTATTTATCCAGAAATACGCCAAGGTTACTATGGTTACGAAAAATCCATTACCTTTGAATACAGAATGAAAAAAGTTTGACTTAAAGTGTGTGCTATTTATTATAGCAAACATCAACAGCCTTCGGGAGGTTCCCTAACTGGACTCATTTTTCAGTGTCATGAGTGACCCACCATACTACTAGCTTATGGCCTATGCAAGGCAAAAAATCTGAACTGTATGCATTTTTAAATATATTTTGTACTAACTCAAGGTGCAGCAATGCCTTTGACTTTTAATGCTTCCTATTTAAGAGGAAGAAGAAAAAAATTTTCAACCACCTAGATGCTAAGTGGCTTCTGAATTGAAGGGCATCTCAGTTACTCTACCTACACCCGCCATGGCTGTGAGAACCATTGGCTACGCAACACAGAAGAATTTTGGTTCTCTGCAGAAACTTTAAAGGAAGCTACGAGGAAATGAAGTAGGAGTAAGAAAAAAAATGCTGACACTTTGAACATTAAGGAGGGGAGCTTAAGCCAAGGTATCAAGGAAGTTTTGATAGCGCAGAAGGTAAAGAATGTTAAATGGTGCAGATGACTGTAACCAAGACTGTAACCAGTCTTTACTCATCAAGACTGTGATCAGATACATTAAGGCAAAATATGATTGACTAATAATTATGCAGTATTCCCTATAACTAGTAGCTAAATGTGCAAATGAAAATAAATTTTCACTTGTAACATTATCAAAAATGTAAGAATATAACATTCACTGCTGATGAATGATGCAAAATATTAAGAGTTTCTACCAGTACGGTAAGATGGTCATATGGTAGGATGATCTTCAATAGCATTTATAGCTTTTCATAATTAAAAACAGTATCATTTTTAGCTAGACTGTGGCTTCCACTCGGTCTTTTCTTGAATTGACATTTCACGCTGTCGAAGTCCATTTGAGAGGCCCCAAACTCTCACTATTGCTGACAGCCCCAGCCCTCATAACTACAAGTTCAACCCATGAACCAGTCATCGTGGAAAAGATCTGAGGTCACAAATATCCCGACACAAAGACAAGCAGCGAGTGTCAACAGCATCACGGGCACGGGTTATGATGCAATATGACATGTAGTTAAAGTGTCTGCAGAGGCTAAAGCCCACCCCAATGTCAGCCTTCTCCCAGCTGCCTCAGACGCAATCCCTTTCCCATGCTGCCTTCTCCGGGGCTCCTGGTGGAAGCTTGGAAGATACACATGACCTGTGTTCAGTACCTGTCACAGGTGTAACATCTTAGAGTTGAAAGGGATCTTTAGCACCATTTTATTTGGTGGTCATGTCACTGGAGAATTTCTGGGAAAGTAGGCGCTCAGCCTCTGCCAACAGTAGACAAAGCACTCACTGTCGGTACTGTTACAGACTCACTTGCATTCCCCCAAATTTACATGTTGGAGCCTTAAACTCCAATGTGACTAAATTTACAGTTAGGGATTTTATTATTATTATTATTTAATATTTTTATTGATTTCAGAGAGGGAGAGGGAGAGAAAGAAACATCAATGATGAGAGAGAATCGTGGATTGGGGCCCTCCTGCACGCCCCCTACTGGGGATCGAGCCCACAATCTGGCCATGTGCCCTGACTGGGTCTCAAATGGTGACATCCTGGTTCATAGGTTGACGCTCAACCACTGAGCCACACCAGCTGGGCTAAAGGCAGGGCTTTTAAAGAGATGATTAAGGTTAAGTGAGGCCATAAGGGTAGGGACTTAATCCAATAGGACAGTGTCCTTATAAGAAGACACAACGGGGCGGGGGGTGCCAGAGGAAAGACCATGTGAGGTCACAGCGAGAAGGCAGCTGTCTGCAAGCCAAGGAGAGAGGCCTCAAGAGAAACCAAAGCTGCCAACACCTGGATCTCACACTCCCTGCCTCCAGAACTGTGAGAAAAAAATTCTATTGTCTAAACAAGTTCCTGGTGTGTTTTCATTTCTTCTGAAGTAATTTCTGTGGTCTAAGGTTTTTAGTTAACACCTTCAGATGTTGTTAGGACACAGTTAATCTATTCTTTTAGTTTCTCATATAAACTCTGCTTTTAACTGGAAATAATTATTATTCATCTTACTAAGTGCTACGAAAATGCTAGATGTTGTATACATGGCTCTAGGTTTCTTAAAAGTCTTGAAAATTGTACATTTTCCATTTTACAGGCTCAGAACCTAAGCCTCAGCGAAGTTAAGTAACTTGCTCAAGACCCCATTTTCTCCTCATCATAGCCAGTGTAGTCTGAGTTGATATAAATGTCTACCACTCACAGACCCTGAGACCTTGAGGAAGTTACTTAATCTTGTTACGCCTCAGTTTCCTCATCTGTGAAATGTGGGCAATGATAATATCTACCTCACAGAAGAAGCATTACAGAACTCTATTCAACCACAATGAACACAACAGAAAAGCAACTGTTCTTGTCCTTTGAAAGTTCTCGGACTAGAGGGGACACAAGGATGAAAACCCTGGGAATGCATTTTCGGGAATGCCACAGCCCTGTCCACAAACACCTCCCGTCTGCATCTGTGTGCGTCCCCAGGAGGTCACAAGCACAAGAGACAGGAGGGACGAGGTCTGACCGATTCCCTCCCAGCCTCTGGTCAGGTCACTGATGTGAAGGAGTGAATGCATCCATGGTCCATGGTTAACCCTGCCTTTGACTCTAGTTTATGAAATCTCTCATGGGCCTCAGGTTTTTGTAAGTCAATATTTGATTAATAATGTCTCACTTGATAAATGCAATTCTATAAAATATAAACTCCATAATTAACACAAAAATATATCATTATACATTATATAGCATGTATTATAATTCACTATGTTATAGATTATGACATATATAACATTCACATTCATTGAGCAGTGGACATTGGTTTTCAGTTGTTGCGCATCCAATCTTTCATGCTCACTCCTATCTATGAGTTTTTGATCTGCCCTTTGAGGGAGGCCCTATTGTATGTGGTTTCCAATACCAGACAACATACATAATGTAAGCCTCTTGTGTCTCACGAGGTTTTCAACAATTCATTTTCCTTCAGTGTCCTTACATTTTAATCTGGGCATCGATATTAAGTTTTTTTCTCAAATTGTCTAAAATTCAGACACCACTGAACTGAGTCGAACTTCTGAGTCTTAAGGGTAGTCCACATTCATGTGGATTTCATCGTAGTTATCACATGTGACAGTGGAATCTGTTTGAAATGACATCACTGACTCAATCACACGGTTGGGGACCATGTGGGGCCCAGCTTTGGCCCTGTGATCAATGGAGACAGAGGAGTCGTATCTTAGCTCTGTGTGTTGATGTATCTCCAAGGGCCCCTCTGCGCCTGAGCAAAGGTATATCCATAGACGGACGGGTGAGGAGTGATGGGCTCTACCGTAAAGCACGCGCAGTAGGACAGCCTCAGGTGAAGGGGAGGGGGAGCAGCAGGAGCTCTTTCCCATGAGTTTAGCGTTGGCTTCACCAGAAATGTGATGTGACCATAAAAATTAGGGAATTTTAGTGGCCCAACAAAATCACCAACCCAATTTTTAAAACCACAGTCTCAGATTACTATTGATTATTGTTATCTGAAATACATGTAAATATACAAATCACCAACCCAATTTTTAAAACCACAGTCTCAGATACTATTGATTATTGTTATCTGAAATACACGTATATATACACACACTCTCTCTAGTCTGCAACTATATAAAATATATACATAGTATTCTAATACAGACTATCATAATCTACTGACACACATAGAGGTCTCACCTGTGGCTGTGTAGCTCTCTCCGATGCCTGAATAGATTCGCATCCCGTCCATATACAAAGAGTACTGAGTGATGACACCATTCGCTTTTTTGGGTGGATTCCAGGAGAGGAACAACGAATTGGGAAGGGATTTGGCTACTGGTGCCTGAACCTCTTGTGGGGCTGTGGGGAGAAAAAAAAATTTAGAGAGTCTAAGTTTACTTTTCTCATTCAAACCTTTCAGACCCAGACCAATACATCATGGAATAAACCCGAAATCCCACGCATGGACAGGGTCCTGATCTGTGGACAGCTTGTCCGTAACTGCTTGAGGAATATAACTAAATAACTATCCTGTACTGATGAGAATTTGCATCAATGATGGATGGGAAGATTTCTCACGGTTCACTGGACTGACGTGTTACTTCGTCAAAGGTATTATTGGCCCATAATCTCTACCTGGGGGCCGTGTGATTAAAGCAAATTAGATAGGTAAGTCCCTGCCCTCCAGGAGCTTTTGATCTAAGCTGGGCCATGCTGGTCCGAGTGGTTTGTGACAGATATGAGAAGTGTATGTGTAACCACAGAAACAGGCAGAAAGTGCAGAAGCAATTTAATTAGTTCGGTATGGAAACTACATTGTGTGCAAGTCTTTTTTTTTAAATGGGGTTTGTTGATTCTCTGTAATGGTCAGTGAACTAGAGTCACAGGAACTAAAAGCTTTTAAAATTTTATCCTACACATACCTATTGTTGGGTAAATTGGCAATAAAGTTATTTTTTTTTTATTTACTGACTTGAGAGAGAGAGAAGGCGGGCGGGAGAGGGAGAGAAGGAAAAAGAGAGATTTGTTCCACTTATCTACTCATTCATTGGTTGATTCTTGTATGTGCCCTGACAAGGGATAGAACCTGCAACCTTGGCGTATCGGGAACTCACTGTAAGCAACTGAGCTATCCGGCCAGGGTGGCAATACACTTAAAGAAAAACTGGAAATCAGGAATTCCTTAAATCCTAGAAGAGAAATAAATGATGAACTGGGTGAACAGAAATCTCACTGGGGTGCGGCTGTCAGGTAGACTTGAAGGGAACTAGAAGAACCTGGACAGAGGGCGTAGTGGATGTGGAGAAAGCAACAAGAGAGAGAGAGAGGACAATCTGTCCCACACGGAAGCGGTGGCCATATGTGAGAGGATGACCGTGTGCCCAGCAGAAGCGATGGCCCATTAAGAAGCATTGCTATTCTCAGTGGACCAGACAGAGAGAACATCGGGAAAATGCGGAAGATGGGTCCTGATGGCTAGTCCAGGTGAGGAGGGTCGGGTTAGGTCAGGTGTATAGCGCTGAGAATAAAGGGTGACAAGAAGGATTTCACACAAAGTCCTTTATTCTGTCACGGTGCCAGGGTATGGGCACCGTCCTTAGGTTGCATTCCTTTTGTGTAAGAGGCACCTGCTACACACTTGAAAAGAATGCCTAGGCCCTAGCCGGTTTGGCTCAATGAACAGAGCGCCTGCCCATGGACTGAAGAGTCCCAGGCAGGTTGAAATCCGGTCAAGGGCATGTACCTCAGTTGCAAGTTTGATCCCCGGCCCTGGGTCGGGGTGCATGCAGGAGGCAACCAATCAATGTGTCTCTGTCACATTGATGTTTCTCTCTCTTTGTCTCTCTCCCCACATTCCTTCCACTCTCTCTAAAAAAAACAACAACAATGGAAAAATATCCTTGAGTGAGGATTAACACCAACAAAAAAGAAGGCCTGGGAAGAAGAGAATGGAAAAATATCCTTGAGTGAGGATTAACACCAACAAGAGAAAAGAAGGCCTGGGAAGAAGAGTGAGAAAGGGGGTGGATGGATGCTGGAAAAGAGACAGACTGACTCTTGCCCCCTGAAGATCAAGCTTGGGAGGCTCCTAAGTAACGTGATAAGCAGACAGTAAAGGAACACGCGCTCCCCCTCACCCGGGAGAGAGGAAGAGGAACTAACAGGGCCTTCGGTGCTGAGAGCGGTTACTCCCTGAAGTGACGAGTTCTGATGTCTGAGCAAAGCTTTCCCTTCGGAGAGCTAAAATCTCTCCTTTCCCACTGCCTTCTTCACATGTGCTTTCTGAAACATTCATGTATGCCAACAGTGTGCAGGTTCTGAGCAAGCAGGAGCGAGACCCAAGTCGAAGGAACGGAGCAGTGATTAGGAATGTCTCCGCTGGCCTTAGGAGGTCCCATCTCGGGGAAACAATTGTTGCCTGTGCTGGTGTTGAGCAGTTAAGAGAGACCGTGGAAATCAACCCTTTGGTTCTCAATTTCATACGGAGCCATACAATCAATTCTTTTTAGTCAGACTGTCTCTAGATTTACTTCTGAGCCATAGTAAAATGAGGAAGCTTTCATTAATCTTTCAGATGCTTCATATTAATGACAAGGCTCTTGCATGAACAATGTAACAGCAATTAAAAAGCCCATTAATCTGCATTACAGCTATTAAAGATGCATGTCATTAAAGGGTATGGAGTTTGATTCATTTTCACACCACCCCCCAAAAATGGAGCAATTATGGCCTGGCAATGCACTTTGTCATCAAATTAGGTTGGGGTTTTCCAGCAAATGGCCTTGCAGCATTTAGCTCTTCTCCTATTTTATTATTCATGACTGAAATGTGGAAGTCAAGACCTTTGAAATTACTTTACCTTCTTGTGGAGTAGAGATGTTCAGTGCACGCGAGCTCTCAGTGCAGCCGGCCAGAGTGCAGGCAGCAAGGGTCACCGCATAGGTTCTGAAGGGGAGCAAGCCTGTCAGCACGCCTGCAAGAAAGGAGGAAAAGAGGTTCACATGTTTACTGTCAGCTGCTATAAGGAATATGATTGGTGTGTGTGTGTGTGGGGGGGGGTGTCTGTGAGAGAGAGAGAGAGAGAGAGAGAGAGAGAGAGAGAGGGGGAGACACAGACATCAAGAGATAAAAAGCAAAAACATATGCCTCTCTTCTTCATCTTCCTGCCCGTGTGCTCACTGCAGAATGGAATGACCAGTGAAGAAAACGTGAGACCAACGTATTGTTCAGAAAGCTCTAAATTGTATCTCATGTGGCCTGAGATACTTTCCCCGGAGAATGGGGGTGCCTCATAGAGTTCGGGCAAGCAGAGCCTAGAGTATCCAGTAGTTGAGAGGTGTATAGTATACTACCCCATTCCAGGAACCCGGACCTCCCGCGGAGGCAAAACTCTGTCATTTCCTTCAACCTAGCATTTTGCAATCATATTTCACTGGAATCCTTTGTATGCACCCCATCTCTTACCACACTTCAGGAAATGCTACTCCCAAGAGTGGCTTCACTGTCTCAATGGTAAGATACACGTATACAAACTATTAATTCATCTTGTAACTACCAAGCCTACGGAGGTTAGTTCCCTTTGCTCATGACTTGCTTTATGTGGCATATGGGGTCTGGACCGGGATGGATTAAAGTTGCCGCTTTAATAAAAGTTCTGCAATTGCCAAAGAAAGAGAACACGGGCATTCTCTCCAAGACTGAGGAAGGTAGCCCTTCTTGGATGTATGCCTAGAGATCGTTGAGCGATTGACCTGATGGCCTTGCTTTAAGCATCAGAATCAAGCTCACATTATATACTCTCCAGGAAGAAAAGGAGCACTACTGTGATAATATATCATCATCAAAAAGCATTGATCAATTTTTCTTCTACACACCCCTGGGAAGGGTGCCCTGGAATATTGGAATATAACTGATCTCTAGGAGGTTCCTATTATTATCCTTTTTTAATCCTCTCACCAGGACATTTTTTTCCACTGCTTTTTTGAGAGTGGAAGGGCGGGTGGGAGGAGGGGAGGGATGGAGAGAGAGAGAGAGAGAGAGAGAGAGAGAGAGAGAGAGAGAGAGAGAGAGAAGAGAGAGAGAGAGAAACATTGATATGAGAGAGACATATCGATTGGTTGCCTCCTGCACGTCCCTCAACAGGGGCTGGGGATCAAACTTGCAACCCAAGTGTGTGTCCTTGACTGGGAATTGAACCCGTGACCCTTCAGTCTGAGGTCCGAGGCTCTATCCACTAACCCAAACCAGCCAGGGTTCTAGGAGGTTTCTAATCTAAGAAAATATTAGCGCTAGAATGACCCTAAGAATAACAGTAACACAAAGATAAATAACAGTAATATATAGATTAATACATGAGACCGAATGCCTGCATATACTCAAGGGAAGAAGGCATTTATAAGATCTGACTTCCCAATCCCAGGTGATAGGTGATCTACACTTCAGAGAAAAAAGAGACAATCATTGAAAAGTATATTTCAGTAGATATTTAAAAATAATGAAAAATATATAGCGTGACATACTTATAAAGGAATCCTAGACAGAAAAACGCGCATCGTTCTGTGTGCACAGAAAACCCAGTAAGAGAACGTGGCGAAGTCTCCCTTTATGACCCTTGGGGCGTTCACAACAAAGAAGAATGCTCTGACGGTGAGAACTTCCAAGACTGGCTGGGACTTAAACCTCTTTCTTTGGGACACATCACAGAGCAGACTCTTCCCTTTGAACCTGAGACCATCGCTACCCCCAGGCAGGCCGGATGAACCTTCCGATGCCCTGTCAGTCACAGAACTCTGCGACATGAGAAAATGGTCCCCACGATGTCAGGAAAACCGCCAGCCCCTTTTGATAATGGAAGAGGGCGAGTTGGAAAAACCCTTCAGTAAGCAAGAAGTCGGCATTATTGATGTCTTAAAAGTGTTAGCATCCCATGGAACACAGCCATGTTGGTGTCCCAATGAAATCACTGGCACCAACGGCCCCAGAACGCGCAGGGCGAAGCGATAATGCACTCTGCGTTAATGCTCAGCATTGAGAAGCCCGCCCTGCCACCAAGGGAGCGGGAAGGAAACTTAAGTCTATCCCTTCTGACATGCAGGCCGGTGGGTGCAGAAAGCCCAGCTGAGAGAGGGGGCAGGCACTGGACTGAGGGGAGGAAGTCTGAGAGCCCAGGTCAGTGTGCCACACCCGTGTTCTGAGGACTTCCTCCCCTTAGAGGGGAAGGGCCCTACCGGAGAACTTTGTCCCATTAAAGCCCTTCTCAATGACTCGGGGGAGCTCCCCGAACGCAAAGATATGTACCTTTACGTCTTTATTTGCCCTATTACCCAGCAGCTATCATGGTCATTTACCAAAAGTGGACACTCGATGTTTGACCAAAAAAATGAAGACTTCTCACCTTCCTTCTCACTAGAAGAGGAAGCCTCCCCTCTCCCCCCCTTCTCCAGGGACCCAGCAAAGGACGAGACACTGTTTCTGTTGACCTAGAAGATTATTATTTCCAGCCGAATGCCGTGGCTCAGTGGTTGAGCACTGACCTATGAACCAGGAGGTCAGGGTTGGATTCCCAGGTCAGGGCACATGCCCAGGTTGTGGGCTCGATCCCCTGTGTGGGGCGTGCAGGAGGCAGGCAACCAATGATGCTCTCTCATCATTGATGTTTCTCTCTTTCTCTCCCTCTCCCTTCCTCTCTGAAATCAATAAACATATTTTTAAAAAGATTATTTCCAGGGTTTCCTTTCCTTTGCTCTCACCTCAACTTTCAAAGGAGCTGAAGAGAGATTATTAATAACTGGAGGCAGCTGGATGGCCTGGGAAAGTGGCCGAGGAGCCGACAGGAGCCATGGGGGCTTTGGTGCCTCTGTGTGTGTGTTTGGGTGGGGGCAGGAAGACCACCCAGGAGCCAGCCTGGACGTGGAGACGTGATCATGAACTCTTCCGACTCAACGAAGTTTAAATGCTCTGGAGACGCGACATGAGACACACTGCAAAATGGCACCTTTTTAAAAAAAGCCAAAGGCACTGGGACAAGAAGCAGGGTCTCTGTTTCTATTTACATCCTTCAGAGCAGGCCCC